ATTGGACCCATTGGTATAATTATATAGTGATAATGATTATGAAGGGATTCTGGCACCTTTACAGGGCTGACAGCAATAATGTTGGAATAATGTGGTAATATCAGATTACAACATCATGATGTTTCCATGGTAATGCAGCCCTTCCATGGTAATAAACCCTGGTGGTGTGATATTTATTGCCTAGGATAATGAAGCAACAATCTTAACCCAGGGTTACCCTGGGAAAATATCTTTATGTAATCTGATAACAGAATATACTTGAGTAATGACAGAAATGAGGGGAAAACACCTTATGTATAGACAATTCAAGTATGTATCGAGGTGATAGGAGAGTAGGAAAAGTTGAAATTGCCTAAGACACTATTTTTGTATATGAGACAGACATTTAAGAAAAAAAGTTTTTCTGGCAGTGGTTCTAAGTCATGTTTTCAGACATGTGGGCCAAAAAGAATGATCATGACAAGCATTAGTTTTTCTGGGTGTGAGCACATGTGTACGCATACATTTTTATAATGTTATTTATTTCTGTTGCTTTTATTGTCTTGTAATCCTCAGTGCTGATTTTGTTTATAGTAAACTACAGTATTTACATTTTCTGAAACATCCTGATCTAGGGCAGGCCAATTTATCATGCTTGAACAATTTGTTTCAACTTATTAGGGATTTTGGTTCTGCTAAAGGGTTAGATCCCAATTTATTGATAGATCTAATTTATTAGCCTAACATGCTCCAGTCCCTGCATCGGTAATTTGCATATATTATCTCACTTAATTATCATGAAAATCCACTAAAGTTTTTATTATTGTACCATTTTCCAGATGAGAAAACAGACTTGAAGAGCTTCTGTGACTTGCCTAAAGTCATATAGCTAGTAAATGGTGAAGCTATAATTAAAATAAGATCTGTTTAGCTCTAAAGCCTGGGCTCTTAACCATTCTTTTAGTTTCAGAGACTAAAAAAATTTAAAGCTCTATCCTCTTGCTTGACCAAGATCAACTGTATATAATATTTTTCTTTAATATTTAAAGATGAATGTTTGACAGTGATGACTATCTTTGTGTGTACTGAAGCAGCTAAGACCAGCATGTGACTGTCACAGGGACAGCATATTTTTTTTTTGTTGTTATTTGTTTTTTTAAAAGATGACTGGTGTGGGGATCTTAACCCTTGACATGGTGTTGTCAGCACCACTCTCTCCCAAGTGAGCCACGGGCTGGCCCTAGGGACAGCATATTTGGACAAGAATAAATAGGCAGAGGATAAACAGGTTTTACCAACAATTCTTGTTACCAGATACCAACAATGAACCTTTACTTTAATATATTGACTATGTTGCAGGCACTTGGAAGGACCCAAGTTACAAAATGTAAAGGAACGGAATAAAACATCAATATTGTACAATGTTCCCTGGCATACAAAAGAAGAGTAGACACTGTATATTGTAGTGTGCTTTGTTGCATAAAGGCAATTATTATTGAGATACATTTTTCTACTATCTTCTATCCAAGGTAAGTAACAGTTTGCTAAATGGGGATCTGCTAAACGTTCATGCTGCCCTTTATTTTCATTAGTATTTGAAGATCCCTTCTAACTTTGACAGTCTGTAATCTCTCTTCTTTTTAATACACCTACTGAAAATATAGACTAAAAGTACCTCATCCAGCCCTTGATTAGTTACTGTACTATATTACACAGTACCTAAGTTTGACCTGTGCTAGCCAGAATGCTAGCCCCTGGTAATATACTGCATGAAATGTAAGCTTAACTAGTTCATGAGCTCCTTTGGGGCAAGACACTACATACACCTTCCACATCTTTTTATTGATTGATTGACTTTTCACTTTTTAAATTTAATTTTTTAAAAATGAAATAAACAGATATATCTTATAAAAAAATCAAATAATAAAAAACGTATAAAGACAAAATAGAAGTCCCTGCTTTCCCCTTCTCCTGCTCCTAATCCTGAGGGCTAATCACTCACTAGAATTTGCTATATAGCCTTTCAGAATTTTACTAGATATATTAAAAATGCATAAACTTTAAAAATTGAGATCGTACTCTAATACTGCCCTGAAACTTGATTTTTAAAAAACAACTCAACAATTATCACAGAAAGAATTCTATGACAAATGTATGGATCTACTCATTCTTTTTTATCAGCTTCATACTATTTTATTGTATGAATAGTCCATAACTTATTTAACCAGTTTCTTAATGACCAACGTTTACATTTTGTCCAATTTTTTACTGTTACAAACAATAGTTTAATGAGCAACTAGCTCCTTTTCCATTTTAATCACACATAAAGATAAGCCTTCACAAGGAGGACATGAAAGGTCCATTTCTGTGACTCCACGATGTCTTGGCAGACAGAAGGGGCACAGGAGAAGCTTGAACATTGGTGAGGTACTGGTGCCTCCCTCCCTCTGCTCCAGAAACAATACACGGTAGTCCCCTCCACTCCACCTTTATTCTTGGGGGATGGGTTCCAAAGACCAGTGGATGTCTGAAACCTTGGAGAATACCAGACCTGATTGCCCTCAGTCGGAACACATTTCTTCTGTTCATGTCGTCTACCCACAAATTTAATGCCTTTTCCATCTTAACTAAGCATTTCATTACAAACTGTGGCTGTAACTTTCACAGCTTAAGATGCAATGGCAAAACTGGCATGAAGTACTTTTTCCTTCTTCACAATTTCACCTATAGAAGATTCATTCTTACTGCATATCTTGGCAAACTCAACATACAATTTTTTTTTTTCTTAATAAGTCGAGAACTTTCACCTTTTCACTTAAAGGAAGCACTTTGGGGCTTCTATTTGGCATATCTGAATGGCCAACATTGCTACTCTTGTGCTTTGGGGCCATTATGAAGTAAAACCAGAGTGACTTGAGCACAAGCACTGTCATACTAGGACAGTTGATCTGGTAACTGAGACAGCTACTAAATGACTAATGGGCAGGTGGCATCTACGGCATGGAAGCTCTGGACAAGAGAATGATTCATGTCCTGGGTGTGTCTGGGCAGGACGACGGAGATTTTATTATGCTACTCTGAAGGGCACACAATTTAAAATGTATGAATTGCTTATTTCTGGAATTTTCCATTTAATATCTTTGGCCAGCAGTTGACCGTGGGTAACAAAACATGGAAAGTGAAACCATGGATGAGGGGGGGACTACTGTACTGTCACTGCTCACACCAGTGTATCTCCCAGACACTGGATACGGGTTGTGAACTTGTGCAGTTTGGCATGAGGACAAGGCGGTCAAGTCAAGCATGGCTCCAGGCTCCACCACCCTCCCCCCTCACAATATAGTTGGGGCCTCTTCAGTCCCACCTTTGGGGTCAGTCCTGTCCTCACTCCCAAACCAACTCTGGCTGGATGCAGGAGATGCTGATGACTGTTTCTATGACTCATGGGCTTTCTGTCTAATCTGGTGCCCTGTTAATCATATCACTTTAGGAAATAATTAGACTCCTGAGAGTAGAAGCCCTGAGCAAATAGGAAGGAATGGTAAATATATTTTTCATTGGGAAAAGAGGAGGAAAGTCTCAGAACTCATACTTTTTGGGAAGGTCTAACTGTAATGGGCTGAATGACATCCTAAAATAGGTATCTAGAATGACCAGAAAGAGATTAGGGGCCAAATATACAAGATTAGGGTGGGATGTGGGATAGACCAATGGCTCTTGGATCCAGGATAAGGGGCGGGAAGGCAGGGAAGAGGAGTTCCTTTCCTTGCACCACCTCTGGCAAAGATTCTCAAATGTTAGTGTGTTTAAGGAGCTTGTGAAAATGCAGATTCATGGGTCTCACCCTCAAAGTTTCTGACTCTGTCCAACCAGGGAGGACCTCCAGCATCTGTATTTTCATCAACGCTCCAGGTGATTCCTACTGCCTGGTCTGAAGACAGTTCTTGAAAATTACTGCTGTACTGTGATTTGACAGGTATGTCAGATTAAAACAATTTAGGAAATAATGCTTCTGGGAGTTCTCAGTCAATTTGAGAACAGTTAATATAGATCTCTGAGAAGAAAAGCAGATTAATTGCTTTGCTTACTTTTAACCTTTCCTTTTTTGTTCTTTAAACTTAAATCTCTTCATTCTGTATCCACCTTAATCCCTTTCCTCCCCCAAAGAAGGTGTGGCTTTATTATAAGGCCATGTCAATCAGACGTTTTTAAAGGTTGTGGGGTGGTTGGGATACTTGACAGGGTTAAGTTGCTGAACTGGGAAGCCCAGAGAAGGCGAGGCGTGTGGATGAGACTTAGGAAGGAGGAGCTGCGTCCCTTAGTCACACCTGATATTCACTCAGCATGTTAGACCATGGCTGGCCCAGGTGGTACGGTGCTGTCCTCTGTAGATAGTCACCAGCCCAGGCAGGACAGCCATGGCAGCCAACCATTTTCTGAATGCCAAAGAGGGCAGAAGGAACATCTCTGGGTTGAAGGGATAGCAAAGCATTTTACGCAAAAGACTTAATTGGTCTATCTCAGAAAAAACAAAACAAAACACAACTCAATTTTTCCTTCTGAGGAAAGTTAGTAAAAGGAGAAAGGAAAAGAAAAGCTAGTACCTGTGAAGTGCTGGCATTCTGGTTCTAATGTAGGTACTTATTTTAATGGTATTTTGTTTGTTTGTTTTAACAGTTGCATGCTCCAGGGGAAAATGAACCAACCACACTGGAGGGAGGGGACAGCAGCAGAGGTGCTCCCCGACCCTGGCCCGCTCTAGACCCTTACTGAGTCCTAAACCTGACTGAGTGCAGGGGTGAGGGCAGTTTTGCACATGTGGTGCAGAGACCCAACAGCTTGTACATCTATAACATGAAGGGATTGGATTTGCTAAACTCCAAGGTCCATGAAATCAGATTAGAAATTTGGTGAAATGTTTTTTGTAGGCATTAAATAAGCACTTGTTAAACTGAATTATCTAACAAGTAAACTTGTATTTTAGAATTAAGTGAGAGTATATAAGGATACTTTGGCATTACCTGTCATGTCTTAATATAGGTGTAGGCAACACGCTTGTCAGAAGCCATCCAAATTCAGCCAGGGTGTGCAGCAGAGGGCCATAATCCGTTTTGATTTCACAGCCCTGCATGAATAAGCAAATGAACTCATAGTCTAATGTCAAAGACATTCAACTACATAAGTAATTACAGTAAAGGGTGATGGGTGCTAATGATAAGGAGAGTTCATTCTCCATTAAGAACAATTTCAGGGCCGGCCCGTGGCTCACTCGGGAGAGTGTGGTGCTGAGAACACCAAGGCCACGGGTTTGAATCCCATATAGGGATGGCCGGTTAGCTCACTGACTGAGCATGGTGCCGACAACATCAAGTCAAGGGTTAAGATCCCCTTACCGGTCATCTTTAAAAACAAAACAAAACAAAAAAGAACAATTTCATTGCACTACAGTTTTCCTGGGCTCATTTTCTGCTACCGCTGTCTTCTAAGCATTGAGCCAAGTCAGAAATGTTGGGAGTGGAGAAAGTTTTCTCTCTGGTTCTCTCAAGGCTGGGCCTTCCTTTGGTCAAGGGCCACGATTCTCAAACTTCAATGTATGGAGGGCTGGAATCTGCATTTTTTTAAAAAAAGCTCCCTAGGGTATTTGTATCCAAGTGGTCGGCAGCACAGTTTCAGAAACACTGGTCTAGGGATTTGGAATGAGGACAAGAGGCAGGAATGAGGTTTGGGGTAGTGAAGGTGAGAAGAGCATGGATGCAGGGAGTCTTTTCACTGCTTTTTACTCATCTGGAATTGATTTTTACTTGGAGCTTTATCTCTTCTCCCAAATCCTTTGCTCTCCTCAATAGGAATTTTAGTTTCTTCTGAAAATGGCCAGAAAGACAAGTGTTCCTGAAAGAGTCTGTCAGCGAGGGCCTAATACACACGACAGACTATACCTGAATTCAGTCTGTACACCTCAGGGGCAGTCCACTCGGTGACATCTGAATTCAGAGTGCACAACACCAGCAGCAATGTCATCTCTGATTATGAAGGACAATGCCGTGTGTATGTATTTGGCCTGGCGAGAGAGAGAACACTTTTTGGATATTTTTGCCTTTGAAAGTCAAGTCATAAGGTTAAAAAAAAAAGTCAGTCACATTTGTTGCACTAGTTGAGTGACTGAACTTTTTTTCAACTTTCAACCACTTGTTATGGCATTGTGTAAAGAGAATCTCAGTGCCAGGGGACTTTGTTTAGGGTTAGAATGCCAAATTTTTGGGAACCCACTGCTATTTATGTATAGATAATTAGTTTGCTCTCTTATAAAAAAGTTTAACAAAAGGTAAAGCAAATTACCTTTTCACAAATCTGAAATAAGTCTGTTCATGCATTTTTGATAAAATTTCAAACTCTGGACAAATATGTGTTTAAGGATACTGCATGTGCCAGGTATTGAAGACCTTTAACATGTAAAACTTAATATAAAAGTAAGGCTAAAATTAAAAAAAATAAAAAAGTAAAGCTAAATTGTCAGAAAACTGCAGCTCACCTCAATAACGGTCCATTGTTCTACTACGATGGCATCATTTCCTTTCCTACTAGAACCTGGAATTCCAGAACCTTCTTCTTCATAGATAAAAAATCCTTCCAAAGATTTAGGCAAATGGTCCCCTGTGAGGAAAAAGATACAATTAAAAAGAGTTGTAAATGCTAAGTGTCTCTTAAGATCATCTAAATCCTTAAATAACTCTTGTAGGAAGGTGAAAGAAAAACATGTCAATTAAAAACTTTTTTTTGGGGGGGCCGGCCCGGTGGCGCACTGCTACAGTGAGCCGCTTGGGAGCATGGCGGCGCTCCCGCCGAGGGTTCGGATCCCACATACAGACCAGTTCCCGCTCACTGGCTGAGCGAGGTGTGGACGCAACACCGAGGGTTGCGATCCCGTTGCTGGTCCCGGTCCGGTATGGGCGCGACACTGAGGGTTGCGATCCGTTGCCGGACACGAAAAAAGACAAAAAAACAAAACAAAACAAAAACAAAAACTTTTTTTTTTCAAAAGATGACCGGTAAGGGGATCTTAACCCTTGACTTGGTGTTGTCAGCACCACGCTCAGCCAGTGAGCAAACCGGCCATCCCTATATGGGATCCGAACCCGCAGCCTTGGTGTTATCAGCACTGCACTCTCCCGAGTGAGCCACGGGCCGGCCCCCCAAAACTTTTTTTTTTGGCTGAATCAATAACATCCTCCTCCACACTGAAAGTTTTCTTTCCCTCCAAAAAGTCAAGACAGTTATATATTTCACTGAATTAAAATCATACACGTGAAAACTGTAACAGCAAAAACAAGATAAAATAATGTGATATGGTGAGATTCAAGAAGAAAATCAACCTAAAAAGCATCTGGAAGTGATCTTCACCTTGAAATCAAATTTTGATTTCTGATCTATATGTTATATGTACATTAGTTATTACATTAAGAGAAATACCATAAAAATGTTAATCCTTGAAATTAGAGCTGTGATATTAAAATTAATGCAAGGTAAGATTACTTCCAAAAATATAAATGTGAAAGAATTCTTTACCTTAATGATGCATTAAAAAAGAACAAAAACAAAAAAAACCAGTGACAGGAAGACCCTAAACAGAAGTCATTGTCCAGAGAATTCCTGCTGGGAAGGAAGTTTTAAGGGAGGGCCTCTCTGACTTTTTCTTGAATAGTTAACAATAACCAGCTGGCCTAAATTAAGCTGATTTTATGGAAGTGCTTTTGTCTTATATTTTGCAATAGGTGACATTTTTCCCATGGCCATGTGCTGGTTAAACATTTTGGTTTTTATGCAGCACGATGTTCCATTAAGTTTTCCCCAGCTGAGTTCTTTAAATAAAAAAGGCCTACAAAGTTTTTAAATGATCTTTTAAGCTGAAAGATAAAAATGACAAAGGTGATTTTAATGTAATTTTCAGTTTTGATTTTTAACAGACTATAAACTTTAAGAGAAAATTATTATTATTATTATTAGAAATCCTTTTTTTCTTTTTCAATCATGCATGTCATTTGAATCACATTGACATCACTCATGGTTAGGGCAGAACACCATGAATAATTTACATTATTCAGAGTGGTTCCTTCCCAAGAACCCAGTAAAGTTTAAATGATTTGTTGAAATTGGTTTTCTACTTACAGTATATGTTCCACTTCCTTTAAATGTACTTATCCATACTGTTACACCAAAGTGACCAGTGGAATCAAATCTATTTCTGACTGTATGTTTAGGGCATCTTTAAAAGTGTGTATGCTCAGATCCTTTTTTAGAATGGAGGTATGAGTTAAAAAAATAATTATGTACTATTGATAGTAATAATGATATTGATAGTCATAATTATGTAGTTAATTATAATTTGCCTCATTTACTTTGGGCTTTTATAATGTGAAAACTATGGGCTTTATGGCTCTGATTCACTGCTTTGAAACAATATGGATGAATTTCTGAAATACTATGTTGAACTAAAGAAGCCAGTTGCAAAAGAGTACATTCTGTATAATTCAATCTAGGTGAAGTTTAAAAACAGGCAAAACTCATCTGTGGTGATGGAAGTCAGAATAATGTTTATCTCTGAGTGGGAGGATATTGACTTGGAAGGGTCATGAGGAAGCCTTCTGGGATGCTGAGAATGTTCTATATCTTCAACATTCGTGTTCTATTCAACTGTATGCATAAGATTAGTGCTCTTTACTATATGTGTGCTATATCTCAGTTAAAAGCAAAAGTCCTTTCTTCTTGCTTCAGAGCTCCCCACGCCCTTGGTTGGCTTTCTTAGAGCCCATACCAGGCCCCAGAACCCCAAACTGAAGTCTGACACTTCCACAGGAGAGAGTTCTTATATCTCCTAAGGCATTCTCCCTAACAGAAGTGGTAGCTAGGGAGAGTGGCAGGGAAGGCCTCATGGGGAAGTAACAATTTGGTTGCTCAGTGTGTTAAATCTGCCAGGTAATGGGGTGAGGTGATAATTCTGAACAATTACTTAATAACTGTCCTGTAGCTGAGTCACCTCTTAACATTACATAATCCAGAGCTTCCCAGCCAATGTGCCTTGGCTCACTGTATGCTAACAGGTTACGGGTGTGCCAAGATACAGGGTGTACCCTCCTGCACAGAGCAGCTTTATCCACTTATACCTGTGTGCCCTACAATAGTACCATTTTCTGCGTGTGCATGATATGAAAAAATTACAAAGCACTGGTCTGACCACTGCTTGTCAAATTTTCTTTTAGCCGAATACCACCAATAGCAAAGGAAAGTACACTAGAATTCTTGAAGGATGGTCTTCAGTACAGTTTGAAGTGATTCGTGGCAAGCATAAAGTTTCTTTTTTTTTTTTCCTGCTTGGTTTCTCAAACCTTTTATTTTTTTATTTTTACTTCTTTAAAAAATTTTTTTTATTGAATCATAATTGATTACATGTATTTTGGGGGTTCAATGTTGACATATGTTGATCAAGTCAATATTACTAGTATATATATTGTTATAAATTGTACTTATTCTTTATGCCCCTTATCCAATATCTCCCCATCCCCCTCTCCCGTCCACTTCCCACCACTGATAACCCTAGATTTCTTCTCTCCTTCTGAAAGAGTAATGGTTACTCTGTTGGTTTGTTGCCTAGATGATCTGTCCAATGTTGAGAGGTGTGTTCAGGTCCCCCAATATTATCATAGAGCAGATGCTTTTTCTGTCACTCCAGAATAGGCTTTGTGGAGAGAGACATCCTCTTTTTTCCTTTGGTCTCTGCTGGTGACTCTCCTTGTGTCAATGCACTCCAGTGGCTGGTGGACCATTTGCATGGTGGTTGTGATGTCTTGCCACTTTCATGGCAGCCATAGTTACTGTGGTGGCTGTGGTGGGCCAACCACATGGAGGTGATGTTTTTGGCATGCTCCTTGGTGCTGGCAGAGTGCCTGGTTGTGTGCATGTGGGGGGTCCAGTCCCTGGCTCTATGCCTCAGGACCCCCATCAGGCCCCGAGGTATTGGTGGTGTGCCTGCTGGTGGGAAGGGGGTCTGGACCCTGGCTCCATGCCTCAGGCCCCCTGGTCAGGCCCCGAGGCACTGGAGGTGTGACTGGTTGTGGGTGGGGTGTCTGGTTCCCAGCTCCATACCTTGGGTCCCTGGGTGGGTCCCAAGGTGTTGGTAGTGTGCTTGGTTGTGGGATGGGGGGTCCAGTCCCCACCTCATGCCTTGGGTTCCTTGTCAGGCACTGTAGCACTGGCAGTGTGCCTGGTTGTGGGAGGAACATCCAGTCCCTGGCTCCATGTGTCAGGCCAGCATAAATTTTCTTTAAAGTTTAATGTTCTATCTTAAAAATCCATGCAGACTTTGCATTCTATTCATCTTTCACAAAAAAGTAATGTTCTCTTCTACCCTCCTTCTCCAATCTTAAAGTTGTATTGACCTTCTGGGAAGAGATTTATCCTGCAAACATGTCATCTTGTGTACACCCTGGCACAAGGTTGCATACCCTGAGGATACTTGAACCCAGGTTTGAAAAACACAAGCTTGAAAGATTCCCAGGGAATGATTTATTTGTCTGGATATGTGATCTTTTTTTTTTTTTTTTTTTTTCATTAAATTTTTATTTTGTCAATATACAATGTATATGATTATTATGGCCCATCACCGACACCTCCCTCCCTCCTCCCTCTCTCCCCTCCCCCCCAAGAATGTCCTTTCCGTTTGCTTGTTGTAACAACTTCAAAAAGGTATAGCTGTTATATCTTCTTCCCCCCTCCCCCCGGTTTTTTTTTGTGTGTGTATGTGGGTGAATTAATTTGTTTATTCTTTAGCTCCCACCAATGAGTGAGAA